GTGTTCTGAGACATTGCCTCTCTCAGAAATTGTGCAAACTCCAACTCTGGTCCTAAGATTTGGGCAAGAGCATATAGCTTTGTTGAAATAGTCTTAGCCGTGGGCACTGGGCTTCTAGTCTCATCTGAGAGAATAATAAGCTTTCTTGCCCAACACGAAGGATCCTGAAGCCTGGAACATGGCTACACTTTGATGTATTTGAAAGACAGAATTTGTGTTTCACTTTGAAGTAGCTCTTCTTCCTTAGCAGGCTACAGGATGCCTAAAGGCCAAAGAGAAAAAGTTGATATTAAGAAAAGAAAACAAAACAAAAAACCCTTTAAGTCCCAGGCCCTTTCAGAACCAATGATAAGGGTGACAACAGGCTTAGAAAGTTTTTCTCTTTTCCCTTTATTATGATGTCCACTTTGATTTAAATGTTCTTCCATCAGATTTGACTGAAGGCTAACAAAAATGTTCAATGTCATCCCACTTTCTTAATAGAGAAGGAGTTCCTATCTTCATGGTCTGGGTACCTGTGGTTACTTCTCTGTTTCCAGACCCACCGAGTTTCAGGGGCCCTTCTCTAGCATGGCACGTTTAGGATATGAGATAATGGTAAATTACCAGTATGCCTTCTCTAGGAGATGGGGGCCCCTTCCCCATGATTCCTTGTAGCCAGAACATGGATTTACTTGCTTATTTGTTTTAGAAGGACCTTACCTTAATCGCAGGTAAGAGTCTAGATGTACCTTTGACTTTCAGTTCCCAGAAAAGCACGTGATAGAATTTGATGCACTCATTGTGCTACTTACTGTCTATCTAAAGCTCCCTTTCCCTTCCTGCTTTCCTAGTGAAAATCTGATTAAAAGCAGATGAGCATAACACAGGTAATAATGGCTGTTTGCTACAACTCTGCCAACACGCAGCAAACCTTAACATACTTTGTTGCATTTTTATAAATACTTTTTTCTGTACTCATAATTTGGGTTCTATGAAACACATTTATAACCCATTGGTGATTCTTAATTAAGCTATTATATGATAGGTTATTTCAAGATTATTTTATTCCTTTAACAAACTCTCAACTTGGTAGGCAGGAAGTACAAATGTATTCTATTTTATAACTAAGAAAATGGAATCAGAGTAAATATATTGAGCAAATACTCATTGATGACCTTCTGTGTCTCAGGTGCTCTGAGGTCATTCACGTAAATGATGAAAACAGCTACAATACATGGCTCATTCATAAAACCTGCTAATCTCATACCTTCAAGCTCCCATATTCTCCAAATCCACACCAGCTATAACTGTTGTTTATGGAGAAGAGGCCACAGTGGTGTCTGAGGCAATGCTGGAACCAAGTGGTGGGAAGGAGCAAGGTCAGCTGCAGCTATGGTCCAGAGAGTAGAGCAGGAAATCAGATCCCACAACTGCCCCAGAGACTTAGCCTGAGTCTGTGACTCTGGAGACCAGATCTAGTGCAGCTTTGCATAAATCCCGGAGACTATGAGAAACATTAATTAGCTGTGATGAATGCAACATGCTAATGTATGATAATAATGTGTGCTATGTTTGCACCTTAGCGTCAGGGGAGATGGGTGTTAGGGATGATTAGTGAAACCTCCACAGCTTTTCTGTTATTCTAAAAACTATTCCAAAGTGAAAGTGGTTTTTAAAAATGAATCGTAATTTATCAGATCCAGAAGGAGAGATATAGCATCCTGGGCAGAAAGAATTGAACATAAGGCCCAGGAGGGCACATGAGCATGGGAAAGAATAGAATTCCTGGGGTTAGAGTATACACGGCTATCTAAACTGAGTGGGCTAAAGGTCATAGTGGAGTTGGGGGTTGGGAAAATTGTTCTTTTGGGTCAGACTTATGAATATTTAAAGTTATTCTGTAGGAAATGAGAATTTATTAGAAAATGATAATTTACATACTTTGTGTTTTGAATCTTTTTTTTTTTTTTTGTTTTGTTTTGTTCTGATTTTTTTTTTTTCGAGACAGGCTTTCTCTGTAGCTTTGGAGCCTGTCCTGGAACTAGCTCTTGTAGACCAGGCTGGCCTTGAACTCATAGAGATCTGCCTGCCTCTGCCTCCTGAGTGCTGGGATTAAAGCGTGTGCCACCACGGCTCAGCTTGTTTTGAAATATTTTAAAGATGTATTTATTTGTATGGTATTTTTGCTTGTATATATTTTTGCGTACCATATGTATGCCTGGTACCCATGGAAGCTGGAAGAAGGCATTGGATCCCCTGGAACTGGGTTTAAGAATGGTTGTGACTATCCTTGTCACATGTGGGTGCAGGAAACTGAACCCTGGCCACTTACAAAAGGAATACATGTGCTCAACCACTGAACCGTCTCTCTCAGCCTGGTTAATTGGTTTGAAAGATATGTTCTAACACACAGAAGATGGACCATAGGAGAGCTGATGGTAATGAGACTCATAGGGAAACAGTTACAATGGTCTGGGCAGAGTTGCGCTGCCTAAAGTCTTGTTGTGGGGAGAAACAAAGCATGGATGGAGAAGCATTGAAAGATAGAGCTCTTGTTCAAATGAACTAAAACCTAAGTAGGCAAGGGTTTTATTCTGTGCTCCTTTTTGCTTTTACTCTGAATTCTCACACCCAGGTATAATCTCAATACAAATAAAGCCTGGTTGATGAAGGCTAGGCAAAGTGTTGTACCAGGTGCTCAATCAAGCCAGGGTATAAAAGTGCTAAGATGCCTCCTCCCTGTGCCAAGGATGCTTGGCAGCAGCTATAGAAATCTAATGACAGCATGGGCTAGAATATCCAGTTGATGCATTCTTATGTCCAGATTGCCTTCATCATCACACTGAGTCATTATGATGGTAAAAGACACCTCCAGACACCACCCACACCCAGAAGCATGGGCCACACATCAGGGATTAGGCAGCTCCAGTGCCAGCTAAACAGTCATGGGATGCAGATGCAGAGAGCCGAAATGCACACTTATCCCTGGCCCTAAGGTTCATTGTGTAGCACACAAAGAAAACAGGAAACCATACCCTTGACTGAGTTATTACTTTTATCTTTGATGAGCATTTAATTTTGTTTGTTAAAGATTGTGGTTATTTTTATTCGATGTGTATGAGTGTTTTGTCTCATGTGTATAAGTTTACCACATGTGTTCAATACTTGTGAGGCTGATGAGGACATTGGATCTCCTAGAATTGGAGATAAAGGCAGTTGTGAGCAGTCATATAGGTTCTGGTGAAAGAACCTGGGTCCTCTGCAAGGGCAGCAAATGTTCTTAATTGCTGAGCCATCCTTTAGCCTGGTCTTAATCAGCTTCACGAATCTGAGTCTGAGTTTTATTTTTTGGAACTATGGTGGGAAATAACCATGTTATTTCCTTCTCTTTGTTTCTGGTCTCAGAGAATGGTACCATTAAACATCCTTGATGTCCGATTAGAATTATGGTAATCTCAATTTGCTCTTCACTTGAGTGTGCTATAAGTTAACTAGCAGCGATATGGGGCTCTTTAGATTCTATGCTCTAATTCAAATTATTTATTCTCTGCTGGCATACATCCTATTATTTAAGATGGAGTTGATATTAGTAGACATTGGGTCCAAAGTGACAATAAGAAACACCGGACTTCTTTTAGGCTGAATATGGGATTCTATATCTCATTCTGATGGTTTTGTTTTAATCTCGGAATTGTAGTATCTCTCAGCTAGAATGCTTTCTCAGCTTCTATAAATGTTGCTTCTTAGGGTTAATTGTCAGAACTCCAGAGAATGCTGGGGGAGTAGACCTATCTTAAGTGCAACTTTGACAGTTCCTTTAGGGCACATATCTAGAGAAATGCATCTGGAGTTAAACAGATATCTTGTGCTTTGGTTCATTAACCCCTTGCTATATAAATTGAGGTCAATGAAGCACCAGCAACAGCAGCAGCACCTTGAAGCTTGTTAGGCATCTATACTCTCACCATAAAGTACATAGAAAAGCCATATGACTTGCACATATCTGTGGTTCGAGAGCTACCAGTTTAATTTATAGTAGTGGCTTGCAATCTTTGCTGAACGTTAGAAACATTAGGAGAACAAACATATCCATATCTTGTCCACCACCAGCCAATTAAATCAGGATCTCCATAGATGGAGCAAGGTTTGAGCATGTTCAAATGTCCCCGTGAAAGAGCCCAATGAGACACAGATAAGCTATGCCTCAGGGTGCATTAATATTCCCCATGACCAGACCTCAAGGTTCTGATTTAGTTGGCTCAAGAAGTGTCTGTTGTCTCTGTTGTTCATTGGCAACAAGAGGATTTAGTCATTGTGGTTGAGACCTTGTATCCATGCAGGAAGGAAAAGTGACTCTTGAATACTTTTTCTCTACTGTTTCAAAGCCAGAGTCCTCTCCATCTCCTTAGGAAACAGCAAAGATGCAACAAAGTACTGGATACAGCCTAAAGCCTCATAAAGATACCGGCAGATACCAAGCACAAGCACATATACTTGGCTACCAGCTTCTATCTATATATCATAGAAAGTTATAGAGCTTGTACTACAGCAAAAACAGGCAGAGAGAACTTAGCCCTTCCTTGGCATCATGGCCACAGAATGTTAGATAAGCCATGTACTTGTGTCTTTGTTAATTGCTTTATTATTCTACCTCAATTCAACTGATTGTGGTACCATCAAAGGGAAAGTTAAAGACATAGTGGGACACATAGTGACATCACATCCATAAAGGACAAAATAAAATTAGGCATAAACATTTATTCCAGAGGCAAAATCCTACTAATTGTCTTTGTTTTGGGAATTTTTGGGACTCTGGGCCTCTGGTGACATCGATGGAGGAAGTGAAACTTTCTGCTTGATGACTCTCTGTCCTTTTAATGGTTTTGAGATGCCTCTGGGTCTCTAAGAGGCCCAGGCTGTTGCTGTCTGCCTGTCTCATTCTCTCATTCAAGATTCCAGTTTAGCTAACGTGTATATGAGACTCTTCCACCCCTTACACTTCCCTGTTTTATCCACAGCTGGCGACCTGGGACTCGGAGAAAGGCTTGAATGGCAGTCTGCAGGAGAGGCCCATGGGCAGTCGCCTCCAAGGACTGACTCTCAAAGTGGTGACTGTCTTGGTAGGATCATGGGGATGTCCTGGGAACTTCATTTTCCAGGTCTCTGACTCTGAGGCTCCTCTCTGGTTAATGCAGGGTTGGGGAGGGGATGTTGAGGTTTCAGGAGTCCTGTCACACAAATTATCATGTGGGCCCACCTAAGGGAGAGTGAGATGGAAGAGTCTCTCCAGGGACTTCTGGGACTTCTAGGAGAGATCTCCAGCATATAGAAGGAGGACCACTCATGCTGCTGGGCTCCTACAATGTCGATAGCAGGTTTCCCAGAAAGATACCTGTGGGAGGACCTTCTCCTGCTGGCCAACACTGCTGAGGATAAATGTGATAATAAGTGTGCAGTGAAAAAATGTTAATTAGTTATATTTTTCTACATTGTTTTCCTAGAATCTTAGACTGTTATAATTGTGAGGCTTAGGTTAATATATTTTAAATTTTATTTTTCCCTTTGGAAGAACTTAAAATGTTCCCATTTGGGGGTATCCCAGACACCACTCAATTCCGTCATTTCCTCCCAGAAAACTCAGAAGCATTTGCCTGTAATCTTTCTGCATTCCTTATGTGTATACAATGAATGAGCCTTAAACCCTATTTCTTTTAACTAAAGGAACTCCATTAGCATTACCAGGGGACACTTTGCCCTCAGCCCCTTCATATTCAATTTCACACAAGAAGATATGATATGGGGTAGATGTTTCTAGATGGTCGTCTCCCTCCCAGGGCATAGATAGTCTGTAGGTATGAACTCAGCATGGTTGTGGATTCAGGATCTTGGGGTTTGACCCTTCTTCATCCGTTGAGTTATGGTATAGCATTGTCCTGTTAATGGGCACTTATTTCTACTGCAGCTTGATAGATGAAATGCTGTTCTCTCACTGTCCAATATCACACAGTTTTATGTCCATGTATTATTCTACATGAAAACTGTCATGATTCTTCTGTGACGACCGTAGATGGCATACCCTAAGGACAGAGGCCTGTGTCCGTATGAATTCTATAGAAGAAGGAAAGAAAAGACACCATTTTATTGTGGGGTCTGAGGGTTAGGGTAGAGGCTAGGAAGAAATACACAGGACAATTAAATCCTCACTGCCCTATGCTGACCTGCCGGCTGTAGTACTGCTCCTGTGCACTGTTCCTTGACTGTCCATAAAGCGCTCTTAGAAAAGGGCAGGGGAGTTCAATCTCTGGGTAGAAATTGGGTAAATACCAACATTACACTACTGTTGCTGCTGTTAATATCATTATTATCCACATTGGGGATGGAACCTAGGGCGTTATATATGCTAAATCTGAGGGGCCCCTGGCAGTAGGACCAGGATCTATCCCTGGTGCATGAGCTAGCTTGTTAGAGACCATTCCCTATAGTGGAATGCCATGTTCAACCTTAACACAGTGGGGAGGGGCTTGGTCCTTCTCCAACTTAATAAGCCAGACTTTCTCCATGGGATCCCTTTACCCATTGGGAGGAGTGGATGGGGGTGAGCTGGGGAGGAGGTGAAGGAGGGTGAGAACCAAAACTGTGTTTGAAATGTAAAATTAAAGAAAAGAATAGAAAAAGGATATTTGCTTTAGCACTGAGCTATGCCCCCAGCCCTAATACTAACATTCTGATGTTGCAATTCACCAGATTGTCTCTGTACCAATATCCTGGAATTATATATATCAATTAAACTGTTGTTGGTTTAAAGAATATTCATTCTATTTTCTATAGGAAGAGCCTTTTGTGATGGTGGCTGAGAACATCCTTGGACAGCCCAAACGTTACAAAGGGTTCTCCATAGATGTGCTGGATGCATTGGCTAAGGCTTTGGGATTCAAGTATGAGATATACCAGGCCCCTGATGGCAGGTATGGTCACCAGCTTCATAACACCTCCTGGAACGGGATGATCGGGGAGCTCATTAGCAAGGTAAGTTCTAGGATCAAGGCCACAAAGAGGGGAATTTTAATACCTTTCTAAGTGATACCTAAATTTGACCCCTTAGGGCTATGCCAAGGTGCCCGTTTCCTCTCTGTCTTCCATGCTGTACCTATTTCTGATCTTTTATTTTCTCATACCCCATCAGCCCTGACTTTCCCCCTTCCTATACATTACTCATTCCTGTCCAACCTACCCCCTGTAATTAACCTTCTCTGTAATTCACCTTCTAATAAACCTCTTCCATTCTTGGACTGAAATGGGAAACTCATTCCTCCCCCTCCACCCGTACCCCAGCCATTGAGTTCTACCGAATGCTTGTTCTTTCATGTCTTACAAGCTATAAGTGTGGTATACACCTGTGCAAATGTGTGTGAGTGTGAGTAGACCTGTTCACATGTTGGCTTTGTTGTGTGTTGAAGGCGTGGCATCCCCACATATCTTACATTTCACATTGTGACCTTTCCTCCTATCTGCAGGGTAGAATGGAGGCCACTAGTGTGTTCCTGGCTGCTTAGCCTGAAATAATCACACAGAAACTGTATTAATTAAATCATTGCTTGGCCCTTAGCTCTATTGGCTAACTCTTACATATTAATTTAACCCATTTCTATTAATCTGTATATCACTACATGGCATCTGTCTCCAGCAGATGGCTTCTCTCTGATTCCACCTCCTTTCTCCCAGCATTCAGTTTTGTTTTACTCACCTAGCTCTGTTTCCTATAGCTCTACTATAGGCCCAGAGCAGTTTCTTTATTAACCAATGATATTCACAGCATACAGAGGGAAATCCCACATCACCTCCCCTTTCTGTTTTAACTTTAACATAGTAAAATTACATATAACAAGACAGGTATCAAGCAGGAATTACAGTTAAAATGTTTATATCTACTTTATCTTTTATCATATCTAAGGAAAACTATTTTTCTATTCTTCAACTCCATCAAAGACTGCAGAAGGATATAATATTACCTAAGTAAACAACAAGTTCATTGTAAGTAACTTCCAAAACTCTAGAATCGACAGAGACTTCTCGTTGCCTGAACAGTCACCCAAAGTTCTTCTGTACCATTGGGGCATACATCTTTAGCCTACAGGCCCATAGTATCCAGCAGACTATTCCACAAAGCAAGAAATTTTAAAGACAGTTCTGCCTATATTGATAGTTTTCAGTCACTTTTTTCTGTGTCCTGAAGAATGTCTGGCAAACTCTTTTATGAAGCAGGAGCCCCAAAGGATGTCTCACCTTCTTTAGGAAAGTTCAGTTCTCTGTGGGTCTTGCATGTCCAGTTCAACAAGCAGTCTAGGCAAGAGCAGTTTCTTGACCAAATGGCTTACAGATTGTGTAAGGAGCCTCTTCAGTGTCTATCTTCCTCTTGAAGTAATTGGTGCTGCCAGGAGCAGATGTGTCTCATTGTCATCAAGTTAATAATTTAAACATTTTAAATGCCATATTCTGAAGGTATCTGAAAGATTTGAAGAATACCTATATAACTGAAATATATCTCTATATATCTAGAAAACCTAACATGACTACAAGCATGACTATTATAGATGACTCTCTATTAACCTATATTTCTTAATTATATGTTACATTTTAAAATGAACTGTACAAACACAATAACTTAATCAAAAGCAGAAATATATATACACAATATAACAAAATTGACCTTAAATTTGTAGCAGTAAACCAAGATCCATGTCAATACAAATCTTTATAGCATATCCCCCTTTAAATGTAAAAAAAAAAATTGTAAACATTATTCAGGAATATGGGCATAGTTCTCTCCAAAGTACTTCCAGCTTTTTATTGGGTGAAGTATTTTTAGGGGTGTTCACAGCAACCTGTCAGGGGGTCTTGGTCCATCATACCACATTAGTCTGGAATTAATCTATAGGTTCTCATCTTCTGTGAAAACAAAAGAAGAACCTCTTTTCCAAAGCAACATATCCTTAGACCCAAATTCTGAAGTCAAGATACCTTTATAATATACATGCTGGTTTAGCTTAGCAGCCCATACAATGAAATGTCTCTCTGTACTTAGCTCATTCATGGTTAAAAAATTGAAAGAAAATACAATAATATTCATAATCCAGACTCTCTGTGAATTTTCCACTTTCACATGGCTTATTTTTCTTTACTCCTTCTAATCTATGACTGTTTGTACTCTGCCTTTTTAAAGACTTTGTTTTTTTTTTTTATAAACTATTTACTTTCTTTTATGACCCTCTATTTCTTCTCTCTCCCAAGCCTACGTATATTTATTCAACACTGTGACTCCTTTAGAGGTCCTTTATGTCTGAATCTGTCCTATTATGTATCTGTAATTTACTGTCCAGGAGTGCTTCTTAAAATGCTAAGTATTTCTTAAAAACCTAAGTTGCAACATTACTAGGGTATATATATTACTTCCTGCTTGCTCTGCACAGTCCAACATGGTGGAAGTCCTTTAGTGGCTGAGACTGCAGGGTGGGAGCCATCCTCTCCGCCTAAACTCTGATAACCAGTTGGCCCATGCTGCCACCAGGTAACTTGCAGTACACTATCCACAAACTCCATTTAAATGCTTGATAGATGAACCTCCAAAAAGAGCCAGAGTCGCTTGTGCTTGTGAGCCAGGAAGCTGCCACTTACAGTTTTTACTGTGCCTCCGGGAGCCTTGCTTGTAGCAAGCCCATCTAGAAAAAAAAAAGGTGGCTACCAAGAAACTGTACTAAATGGTTCTTTTGTGTCTAGAATTCCTTTTCAAGCTTTCTCAGGTTTTACATGAATTTAGCTAGCACACATTGGAGCACCAGTTGGTAAGAGGAGGACCACTTGTTGGTTCCTAGCCACTTAGTCCTGAAACACACACAGAAACTATATTAATTGAATCATGGCTTTATCCATTAGCTGTAGCTTCTTATTGGCTAACTTACATATTAATTTAACACATTTCTATGAATCTGTGTATTGCCATGTGGCTGTGGCTTACCGGCTAAAGTTCTGTCTTTGGCATGGCTACATGGCTTCTCTCCAACCCCACCTACTTTTCCCCAGCATTCCGTTTAGTTTTCCCTGCCTGGCTCTGTTCCTCTAAAGCTCTGCTTATAGGCCCAAAGCAGTTCCTTCATTAACCAATAATATCCACAGCATACAGAAGGGAATCTCACATCACTGCTAAATATATCCTCATTGAAACTCCTAGCCTGAAAATGATTCACCACCTCCTACTCTTGTTCTTGTTATTTCATGGCCTCTAAGTCATTTACTGACAATTATTTACAACAGTGACTCTCTCTCTCTACTATAACAGCTTCTACCACTCTTGACAATTCCCGACATTGCTGTGGACTACCCAGGACTCATGCCATCTTGTCTCCCTCCAGTCACCTTTAGTGTAACCATTCCCATGTCTCTTATTAGCATCCTGTAGGACACCCTCTATGCTACTTAGTGACCACAACCTGTTGTCTTTCCGTTTTTTTTGGGGGGGAGGGGGAGCTTTCTCCTGATACATAGGATCTTGTTTCCAAAGCCTATGTGGGGAGATACTAGGACTATTACCTTGCCACATTCCATTAGTTATTCTTGTAAAAGGAACTTTAGTGCAGTAGAATTTAGATACTATAAAAATTACCCAGTTCAGAGCTGCATTTCAATGATACTTAGCAATTGTACAGAGTTTGTGCAAGTCCCACTGTGTTCTATTCTCAGAGCACTTCCATTGTCCCTTTGTGGTCACTCTTATATAATTACTTAGTTCTATTCTTACTCTCATCCCTTAGTCTTCTTGTGTCCTCTAGATCAGTGGTTACCAACCTTCCTAATGCTGAGACCCTGTAATACGGTTCCTCATGATGTAGTGACCTCCAACCATAAGGTTATTTTCATTGCTACTTTTGTTATTTTGCCACTGTTATGAATCATAATATTAACATCTGATATGAAGGATGTTTGATATGTAACCTTTGTAGGGGTTGAGACCCACAGGTGAAGAACCACTGCTTAATAGAGTTGCAGTTGGGGACACTGTGTATATGTGGAAGATTATGGTATGTGGTCCCTGGTGTGTGGATCTTTCCGTATGGCAAACATATTTGAGATGTATCCATTTTTTTTATGTTTCTTTATGTATTCGACACTGTAGCCTTCCTTAACCTGTGTACCCTGTGGCCAACCATACAAACTCTTGTACAGTTCATTTCATAAGATTTTTGGTGTCCTTGATTTCTTGTTATATGCACGACTTGAGTCAATTTTATTATCTATCTTCAAAGTGTACAACCAGGTTTCTACATGAAATCTATATGTCTATCCAGATTAATGTATGGATATATGTGCTTTCTATCCTCAACTGTCTCCCATTTTCCTTTGTTGGATGCCATGACTACATCCCTCAGATATGCTTCAGAGGTTTTCTTTTTCTCCTCAAGAAATCTAATAACCCTTTTTCCTTCTCAAAAATATGAGTTATCCTTCTATATTTGAGAAATCTATAGGTATGAAATTCTACTTGCTATGAAACACACCCTGTACGCACAGGACCTCCATTATTAGTGGAGGAGTATCTCTTTCCAGTTACAGGAAGCTCTGAACCTGTGTTTTAAGTTAGTTCCAGTGTACCTCCTCTGGATCTTGCTTCATAAATGAATTCTTCATCCATCCTGTGCTGTTAACCTCCCCTGCTCCAACTTAATCTCTTTGACAGCTCTTTAAATCTGTTTTGAACTTTGTTTTTTAAAGATTCTCTCTCTCGTGTGTGTGTGTGTGTGATATGCATATGTGTCTGTAATAGGCACTCAAACATACACCCAAGTCCTTAAGTAGGCCAGAGGACAACTTGGAGGAGTCAATTTTCTTCTGAATATGGGTCCTAGGGATCAAACTCAGATTGTCAGGTTTGATGGCAGGTACTTGTGCCTGCTGAGCCATCTCAGAGGCTCTCTCTCTCAGTTCTTTAATATGATTCAAACTCTTACAACCTTAAACGGGACTGCTGGATCTTTGATTCCTGAGAAGACAAGAACCACACATGCACTGGTGTAGGCACCTTCAACATTTTTCCATATTTTCTAGGTCAGCGGTTCTCAACCTGTGACCCTCAACCCCTTTGGGGGACAAATGATTCTTTCTCAGGGGTTGCCAAAGAACACCAGAAAAATATATGATTTAAAACATTATGATTCATAACAGTAGCAAAATTATAGTTATGAAGTAGCAATGAAAATAATTTTATGTCTGGGGTGAACACAACATGAGGAACTGTTCTAAAGGATCACAGCATTAAGGAAGGCTGAGAATCCCTGCCTTCACACAAAGTATGCACATAAAACAAGAAAGGCAGCAAGATGGCTTAGAAAGTAAGAATATGTGGCCTGCACTCACACCCCTCTCTGTGTCTCCACACATGGACCTGCGCTCACACCCTCTCTGTTTCTTACACACACACACACACACACACACACACACTAAATAAAAACTTTAAAAATTAATGAAGACATACATTTTTGAAATTGAACATTGTTGTTCCATCATGTAACTTGTGAAGTATTTTAGAAGTGCTGTCTATGGATGTGGGATCCTGGAAGTTGCAGGAACTTGCTTGAGAGATGACAGGTATCTGAGCCCTTGCTATGTTTGAAGGAACAAGGGTGTCCTTGGTGGGAAGAAAGCCAAGTCCCCTTTTAAATCACATGTCCATTAGTGTTATGGAATTTTGACTTGAACACAGGTAGAAGCAAAAGGAGATTAAGTTTGCTAGGTGGACTGATAAGAAAACAAGCAAGTGTAATTTGTGGAAGTGAAGATACTTAACTGAATTTTATTGTCCCAAAGGATGTCCTAGGAGATCTTAGGCCCAGGGAGGGACTAAGGAGGTAATAGATAACAGGGTGTTGGATTTCTTCTCATATTCTCAGAATTCTCTGGGGTCACTCTCAAATCCATTGCCTCTGGGTAAATCTTTGAAATGGCAGAAGGTAGACCTTGACCTAGGGTGGAAATCAGCAATGACCGGAAGGTCACCTCTTGCGAACTTCTTTGTCTTTCAGAGAGCAGACTTGGCCATCTCCGCTATCACCATCACCCCAGAGAGGGAGAGCGTTGTGGACTTCAGCAAGCGCTACATGGACTACTCTGTCGGGATCCTCATCAAGAAACCCGAGGAGAAAATCAGCATCTTCTCCCTCTTTGCCCCCTTTGATTTTGCCGTGTGGGCCTGCATCGCAGCCGCCATCCCTGTAGTCGGTGTGCTCATATTTGTGTTGAACCGGATACAGGCTGTACGGGCTCAGAGCGCTGCCCAACCACGACCTTCTGCTTCTGCCACCCTGCACAGTGCCATCTGGATTGTCTATGGAGCCTTTGTTCAGCAAGGTGCATTTCCAGTTTTCTGTTGTCCAAATAGCCCTGGGGGCCTGAAAAAGCCTATCCTTTAGTAAAATTCTCCAGATGCATATCACAAAAGTCACTTCAAATATAATTTTATTTGATATCAGGACAGTGCCAATATCAGGCTTTTTCGGTTTTTCTAAGCACTGTCAGGTAGAAATTAAATAAAGTAACAAAGAAGTCAACTTCCATTCCTGATTCTCCATTTTAGATAAAATTTACTTTGGATTTCAGGGCATTTTCCTCCCTTCCCAAGTTAGGTTGCTTTTTTACGCACATGAGGTTGTCAAAGGGAACTCTGATTAAACATCAACATAGCGTGTAGCAATCTGTAAGTGGTACTCCAGCAAGTCTTGAAATACAGACTCCTCCCTTTGAGAGGCCTGGTGACACTTCTGTCCTGTGATGAGTTTCAGGATTGTGCCATTTTGACCAGAAACAAATTGCAAAGTCCTTAATGTGGATCTCAACTCTGTGTGCATCATGGCAAAATCCTTTCAAGGTTACCTGAGGAGGAGGGAGAAGCTTTCCTCTCCCACCACCCAAGGGACCAGAGAGAAATAATTGGCTACAGAGAGGTAGCTTCTCGCTGAATTTTACAAGCAATGCTTTCTGAAAATCCTGGAGGGGAAAACCATCCAGGGAGGGCTGAATATTAATAAAAGTGAAACGGGCGATCTCATTTCTCTGAGTTAAAAGAAAGCTGGAAGACCTCCAGGCAGGAAAAAATTCTTTATTTACAGAATTCCTAAGTGTACTATGTGAAAGTGAGATTGCCGAAGATCTTACATTGAGCAGTAGCTCTGGAAGTTCTTGTCACAATGAGATAGAATCTTCAAGCTGGAAGACTCGATGTTATGACAAATTTTTCATCACTAGATTCTAGTCCCAATTTTTCTGCCTTTTGCCATCCTCTGGCCTTTCCCCATATTAGTGGTTTTAATAACATTTCCTTTAAAAAAAATAATGTCCAGTGCAATAGTGATAGGAGACTTTGACCTTGGCCAAGAAGGGAAGAATCTTGCTGGGGGTCAGGGTGAGAGGAAGGCACAGCTAACCCCTCTGCATTCTGCAGGTGGTGAGTCGTCTGTGAACTCTGTGGCCATGCGCATTGTGATGGGCAGCTGGTGGCTCTTCACCCTCATTGTGTGTTCCTCCTACACAGCCAACCTCGCTGCTTTCCTCACAGTGTCCAGGATGGACAACCCCATAAGGTATGTCTGCTCCTCCTTGATCAACATCAGTTCTGATGAGTGGCTTTGCAGAGTCTGCCTGATGGCATGGAGAGAGACACGAGGCTGAGAGAGACTCTGGGCTCTGAAGCTAGATGAAGAGAATGTTTCATGTGAGAGGATCCTCCATAGTCGTATTTTATTGTAGTCAGGATTACATAAGTATATAAATTAAATTCTATTTGTCTGGACATTTAAATGCTGATTATGAAACTAATAAACTGAAACACAAAATTAACAAGTTAAATTTCCTCAGACCTTTAAAAATAGATTGTAAACTCATTTAATCAAAATTTTATCAACACTCATTTAAAATTAATTAAGATCACAAGTCTAATATATTTTCAGATCTTCAAAGATCTGAAAATTATTTTTTTAAAAACATGCCAGTTGGGCTCTGGAGATGGCACAGTTGGTAAAGATGGCAGTTGCTAAGCCAGATGACCTAAATTCAATCCATGGCACCCACATGTGGAAGGAAAGAAAGACATCCCTCAAGTTGTCTTCTGAGCTTTACATGCATGCCAAGGTAAACATGTGAACATGCGCACACACACACAACAAAATTTTTTGCTTATATTCATAAAATTATAACAGTTTATCAAGAGTGGATTCTTGTTTTATTGAATTAAAATGTAATTTCAGGTATGACTTTCTTCCTTCATTTTTGAAAAATGTTGAAATTATACAATAAAAGAATAAATTCTTTGTCATGAGGGTGCTCTTGAAAATCCCTTGATCATGATCAGATTCTCAAATGCAGTGCAAATTACCAAAATAAACAAACAAGCAAACCACATACAAGAACAACAACAACAAAAAGGTATAAAGTAAATGAGTATTAAACCTGAAGCTACCAAGGTGAAGGCAGGCCTGGATCTACCCAGCATCTAGCAGGGTAGCATAATGGTTCCAATATAGCCTCACTCTGGGCTCTGCTGTGGATTTCCTGCTTTCGTGATTTTTTTTAGCCCACTGTATTCATCATCAACCTATTGGTTCTTTTGTTCTACTCATCTGTGGAGTCTTCTGTTGCGTTCCCAGCTGCCTATTTAAGAGTTCAAATCCCTTTATTAGGACTCAAGATTCAGTTTGATTTTACCTGATATCATTATGAAATTGACATTTTAACTGAGATAGTTATAGATTCATATGCAGTTGTAAGAAATAACACAGAGGTATCCTACACTTGGCCTCGTTTTCCCAATGCAAAACTGTAGCATTGTATTACAATCAGGTATTGATATTGATGTGATCGACTGGTTTTATTTAGATTTTCCATGAAATATGTTATGTAAATAGAATCATGCATGTTGACTGTGCCTTTTTAAGTCAGATCGATTCCTCCATGACTTTCTAGGTTGCTGATATAGTCATAGTTCGCTGCCTCTCAGTGATGAGTGCAACAATTTGTTAGATCTATCCACCCATTGGAGGACATCTGGGCTGCTTACGGCTCTTGGCAATTATGAATAAACTGCTATGAATGCTTTTGTAGGTTCCCGTGTAAACACGGTTTTGTTTACATGTGATCTTTGCACAAGAGTGCAGTTGCTAGGTTGTATGGCCGTTGGGTGATGAGTTCTCTAAGAAGCTATGTTGGCATATAGAGTTGTTCTCACTTTTTATTTCTTTATTCTGATATGTATGGAGTGATGTTTCATTCTGGGTTAAATTTTCATTTTCCTAATGGCCAACAATGAATCCTTTCTATATGCCTATTTACTGACACCTCCTTGTCTGTAAAATATCTGATCTTACAGTTTACTTCTTTTCTAATTGGACTGTTTGAGTCCTGCCATTGACTTTTGAAGGTTCCTTGGGCGTTTCCAATTTATATATTGTTTACATGTTTTATTAAATGTTCTTTTTCATCTGATACGTGATTTGCAAACATTATTTCACCCTGTAGCTTGCATTTTAAACCTTTTAACACGATTGCAGAGCGTTTTCAATTTTTATGAGGTCTAATTTAGAACATATGTCTTCCTGGGTCATTTATTCTTTTGATATCAAACCTTAGCCTGGCCTAAGACTTTGAAGATTTTCTCCTTCCTAAAACCTTTATAGTTTTATATTTTTCATTAATTTCTCTATTTGGCTTGAAGTTCAGGTTGAAGCGGGTTTTTCTTAATTCACTCATTCAAGCATTATTTGTTAAGCAGGATAGACTAGGTGTGGTTGAGAGAAGTTTAGACGCAACGTCATGCAGGAGACCAGTCCCTGCTTTTGAGGGGATAATAACTTAAAAAAAAAAAGAAAAAGAAAAAAACAGTATAGCAAGAGTGTTGTGGGGAAAGGGGAGGTAGCATAGAGGTGGGGCTGTTTCTTCACATGGAGTGGTCTGCAAGGCTCTTCTACCCAAAGAGAACGGTGTGACTGTGAGACTGTGAGTGTGAATTGCGATCAAGATCAGGTGAGACTTGGTAAGCTGTGTTATCAGGCTTGGAATCGGAGGCTTAGAGGCTTTGTATCTTAATATTTCCAATCAGAATCACTTGCTGCTACCAGATATGGACTCAGTGGCTAAGCAACAGATTGGGAGTGTTCATTGACAGGCTTTTTTTTTTTTTTTTTAACTGCATGAATGTATTTCCCTTTTAGAAAAGAAAATTCGAAATAAGCAATTTTAACTTTCATTTGGAAAGGAGTAGTCTCTTGCACAGAACTGTTTATAAGCCAAGCTACTTCTGCCAGGAACACTGCAAGAATAAAGTCTTCAGTGCTCCCAAGGTGAAAGGCTGTCCCTCCCATGACTATACTATAGATCGATATAATAAAGCTAAACAACATATCCACAGATGTCTGTTCTCATGATTACCGTGTGGACGTGTGTTAACATCTACAGTCTAAGCAGTCATCATAAAATCTGGTGTCGTTAGCTATAGCCATCATCATGTTCATTAGATCTGCAGAACATACTCATCACCCCTTAATGAAAATCTGTGCTCGTTTATACCTAATCCCTTCCAGTCACTATTCTGCTTCCACGAGTTAGACATTTTAAGACCCTGCATGTAAGTGAGATTACAAAGAAATATTTAGCTTTCTGTGTCTGTTTTCTTTAACTTAACATAACACCCTCTAGATTTTCATCAATGACAATGGTTCTTTCTTTTTAAATTCTGAGTTACATATATGAGTTATACCAATATCTATCTGTCCTGTCAATTCTCCTGCATGTTATAGTCTCTTTAACCATCCTTCCATATGGGAAGTTTTAGGTTGATTCCTTATATTGGCCATGGAGAAAAATGCTGCAACGAACAAAGGAATACCGATTTATCTTCAAGATTGCAACCTCATTCCCTTTGATCATAAACTGAGAAGTTGGGTTATCAGATCATACAGAATATCTAGATGGATTTGATGAGAAATCTCTTCACTCATCCATATTTTCTATACTAATCTGTATTCTTACCAACTGTGCACAAAATAGCCAATAGGTAGGCTTTGGATTCTATTTATTTGAAATTAATACTATTGAACATTTTATTTTCTTCTGCTTATGGGCAATGCATGTTTTGATAAGCATTTATTCAGGTCCCTCACACATTTTGTTGTTTTTTATGCAAAATTTTGCTGCTTAACTGGCCGCAAACTTGCCATCTCTTTGTCTCAGCCTGATGAATGCTGGGATTAAAGATCTTGTCACCATGCAAAGGTCCTCTGACTTTGTAGAAATCCAGCGATTTGTTTTCCTGCTGTTGAATCGTTGTTTATCTATTTTGAATTTAACTTATAACCAGATACATAGTCTTCAGATATTTTTATTCATCCACAGTGTATTTATTCTGTAGATTGTTTTCTGTGCTAAAGATTTTTAGCTTGTTATAACTTTATGTGCATATATTTGCTGTTATTATCTTTACTTTTGGGGTCATCCAAATAAAAAAAAATGAAATCATTGCCCAGTCTAATAGCAAAAAGCTTTCCCCAGTTTCTTTTGGAAGTTTTATATTTTCAGATTTACAGTTTAGGCTTTATTCATTTTGAGCTAAATTTTACACATGATGTGAAGTGTTTTTCTTCTATGCATGTGGAATACCCAGCTTCCCTACACCAATTATTGAAAAATCAGCCTACTCCAACATGTATTCTTGGCAGCATTGTTAAAGGATCCATTACCTATGACTGCACAGGCTTATTTCCAGGTTCTCTGTTATATTGATCTGTCTGTGTCTTCTGTGCCAATATTATACTTCTTAGGTTGACTCCAATTTTGTAGGTTACTTTGACATAGCTAATGTGATTCCCGCATGCTTGTTTATGCTCCTCAAATTGATTGGGTATTCAGTGCTGATGAGCAGGAATTTCAGGGTCATTTCTTTTCTATTTCTATGAAAAATGATTTTTGTTTTTTGATGGGGTTGCTTTTGTTTTATCAATCACTTTTGGTAGTATTTTTTATCTTTTTCTTTTATTTTTTATTTGAGAAAGAGAGAGAGAGAGAGAATACCTACTTCATTCTAGAGTCAAATTTGAGTGACCATGGCTCAAATTTTATGTGCCATGTGACCCAGGAACACAGATTTACGTCATCCTTAATTGCCTCTCTGATGTGCATATTAATGTATTTTAGTATAGATATTTTAATGTTACTGATTATTTCAATCTGTGAACACAGGATAGTTTTCCATATATTTCTATCATTTGTAAATTTTTTCAGTTGTCTCTTCTAGTTTTCCAAGTATACATCCATCACCATTGGCTCAACTTAAACCTAAGATCATTTGATGCTTTATTCTGGTTTCATTTTTCTTGTAGTTAATTTTAGTCTATAAAAATATTACCAATTTCACATGCTAATTTTATATTTTTGTTTTACTGTTACATTTTATGTGCATGGGAGCATTACCTGTATGTGTGTAACATGTTAACTTTATTTCTTAAAATTTTCCTTCATTTGGCTGGGCGTTGGTAGCGCATGCCTTTAATCCCAGCACTCAGGAGGCAGAGGCAAGCAGATCTTTGTGAGTTCA